GATGGTAGCGGGTTATAAATAAAGTGTATTATTATTATTATTATTATTATTATTATTATTATTATTATTATTATTTTGCCACAGAGAATAATTTGAAAAATGCAATGCTGTGCTAAAGCTAAAGAAATTGGGTACCTAGAAGTGCCTAGAAAGCAATCTGATTGGGAACATCATGGAAGCCTCCTGCTATATATTTATAAGTATATATTTGGAGTGGTAAATATGACCAATGAAAAACAGTGCACTCAAGAAAGAATATATTCTCTATGGCAATCCAATCTGTACTAAAATGATAGGGATTGTGAAATCTGTCTGATACAGATGTAGATTATTTATTACATGGCTTGCCTTTTTAATACTTGGCATTATATATTCTGGTTTTCATTACATTTCTTTCTCAGTAGCTTCACTATGTTAAATACAGCTTAGTTCTTAAGTAAAAGTGCAAATAACTGCAATTGTGCTCCCTAATCCTACACATGTTTACTTAAAAGCAGGTGTCATTGTAGTAAATGTATTAAATTCCATCAGAAAATTCTATAAAGCAGGTGTCAGAATAATGTAGCCCTTCAGGTGTTCGACCGCAATGCCCAGTATTCCTCACAGTTAGCTCTACAGGTCTGCTTGGTTCTGCGGGACAACTGCAGTAGTATGACAAGTATTTTGTTTACATACTCCAAAGCATGCTTTTGAAACCATGAAAAGGGTTGAATGTATGTAAACCAACCCTTGAGGAAAACTGAAATCTACTGCGAATGCTGCAATATGCTGCTTGAATCCCTATGGGGAGAAACGCGGGATAGAAATAAAGATGATAATAACAACAATGCTTCATTTCCCAAAATTGTGGCTCACAGGCCAACTACATTAGATGTTGACAGACAGCTTGGACTACCATTCTCAGAGTCCTCTAGCTAGAATGACTATTTGTTGTCCAAAAACATAAGTTACTGTTGAAGAAACCAGATCCATCAATCCTGTTAGATTGTTGCGAGTAAGCTTAGATATGAGGGATTTAGAAGGTATAGTTGTGTGGTATCCATATACAGGAGAGGGTTGCTGTTATGGTACTACTGGTATGTAGCAGAGCCAGCCAAAGGGCCGAGGTGCCCTGGTGCCCAATACACAGTGGGACTGATGAAAATTGGACCAATGGTTCTAATGCACCACCTGTATCAGTCAGCTGTACCTGATGTATGTTGGGCATCAGTCTGTATTGGGCACATATTCTGGTGTCCCATTACACATCTTTGCCATTCAGTAAAGGGACTTTATTCAGCATTGGTCTTGAGTGTAAATACCCTGGGCTGGCCTCAAGGGTGGATGCATTGTCTACTTTCATCCTGCTTTGGTGGCAGGTTAGACCAGGGGTTCTCAAACTATGGCCTGGGGGCCAGATACGGCCCTCCCAGGTCATTTACCCGGCCCTCACTCAGGGTCAACCTAAGTCTGAAATGACTTGAAAGCACACAACAACAACAATCCTATCTCATCAGCCAAAAGCAGGCCCACACTTCCCATTGAAATACTAATAAGTTTATATTTGTTAAATTGTTCTTCATTTTAATTATTGTATTGTTTTTAAGTGTTTTTGCACAAGATTTGTACATTGTGCATAGGAATTCATTCATTTTTTTCAAATTATAATCCGGCCCTCCAACAGTTTGAGGGACTATGACCTGGCCCTCTGTTTAAAAAGTTTGTGGACCCCTGGTCTAGACTGTCCAGTTGGATGGCCATCCTTATCTATGTCTTTTTTGTCACTCTAGAGACAACCACAAATTATGAAGAGCTCCTAGTTGTTGCTCTGTGCTTTTGCTGATATTAACAAAGGTGCTCAGCAAGTTGGAGAGAGGAGGGTTTTTTTGTGGTATTAGGAGTGACTTGAGAAACTGTTTTATCATTCTTATGGGAGGCTTCTCTCATGTCCCTGCATGAGGAGCCGGAGCTGATAGAGGGAGCTCATCCACGCTCTCCCCGGATTCGAAACTGCGACCTGTCGGTGTTCAGTCCTGCCGGGCACAGGGGTTTACCCACTGTGCCACCGGGGGCTCCAGGGGTGGGGTTAAGGAGGAATATAATACTTTGAGGAGGGGTAAGGGAGGGATACTATACATACTTTGCTGATGTCAGCAAAGCACCAAGTACTAACCAAGAGCTCTTTGGTGTTCTGTGGATACTGCTATGATGGCAAAAATAAAATAAAAAATGTTCCAGGTGCTGCAGCTAAAATGTGCTGCAGCTAAAAGAGCCCATGGGATTTTGGCCTGCATAAATAGAAGTGTAGTGTCTAGATCAAGAGAAGTCATGCTACCCCTCTATCCTGCCTTGGTTAGACCACACCTGGAATACTGTGTCCAGTTCTGGGCACCACAACCGAGTCCTGGGGCAAAGGCAGGCAACCAGGAAGTTCATTTATGGTTTCTAGCCAGATGGAAGACCAGGCTGAAAACCTGTTCAGAGAAGTATGAAAACACTGTAGGGATTATTCCCTTTTTTTAAAAAAAGGGAGCCATCACATAGTGACTGGCATTCTTTGCGGTCTAGCATTAAATTCTGGGCACTGCAATTTAAGAGATATGTTGACAAGCTGGAATGTGTCCGAGAAGGGGGACTAAAATGATCAAGGGTCTGGAGAACAAGCCCTATGAGGACGGCTTAAAGAGCTGGGCATGTTTACTGCAGAAGAGAAGGCTGAGAGGAGACATGATGAGGGCCATGTATAAATATGTGAGGGAAAGTCATAGGGAGGACGGAGCAAACTTGTTTTCTGCTGTCCTGGAGACTAGGACGCGGAACAATGGCTTCAAACTACAGGAAAGTGCATGAATATTAGGAAGAACTTCCTAACTGGAGCTGTTCAGCAGTGAACTCTCTGCCCCGTGTGTGGTGGAGGCTCCTTCTATGGAGGCTTTTAAACAGAGGCAGGATGGCCATCTGTCAGGGGTGCTTTGAACATGATTGTCCTGCTTCTTGGCAGGATGTTGGACTGGATGGCCTACAAGGTTTCTTCCAACTCTATGATTCTATGAGTGCCACCCCCTTTTCCTTGGACCACAGAGTGCAAAGAAAGCAGCATGATGGTACTGGCCGGCTCTCAATCAGAACTGGCCCAACTATTCACACCATCCCAAAATTCAGGACTGCTCCAGAGCACTGGGGAAGCTTTGGATTTTTCCTAACACAGGGCAAAAATGTGTTAACCGATATTATCCTGTGTTGCGAGCAAGAAGGCACCATGCATGATTCATGTGGATGTCAACTTCTTGCTCACTTCGGGATATGAGGCCATGTAGATGAGCCCTAGAGCAGTGGTTCTCAACCTGCCAGTTTACCAGCTGTTAGGATTTCTGGGAGTTGAAGGCCAAAAACATCTGGGGACCCATGTTGAGAACCACTGCCCTAGAGCTTACGTAGCAAGGTATATGTAAAGTTATGCAATGTAACTAGTCATATAGGATTCTGGAGATTGTTTTCAAACTTTGGAGAGAAAGTGTTTTTTTACCAGTCAACTAACACAGTTCCAGCGATATATATCTATTTTTCACTCATCAAAAACCCCAGTGGCGCAGCGGGTTAAACCCCTGTGATGGCAGGACTGAAGACCGACAGGTCGCAGGTTCGAATCCGGGGAGAGGCGGATGAGCTCCCTCTATCAGCTCCAGCTCCTCATGCAGGGACATGAGAGAAGCCTCCCACAAGGATGATAAAACATCAAACCATCCGGGCGTCCCCTGGGCAATGTCCTTGCAGACGGCCAATTCTCTCACACTAGAAGCGACTTGCGGTTTCTCAAGTCTCTCCTGACACGACAAAAAACAACAACAACACACACACAAATAATCAGCATATGGGAAGAGAAGTCTTCATTAAACCCAAAGGCTTCACCATTTGGTTTTAACATTCTAAAATACAGAGGAGCAGAAGTGTCTTCTCACCTCCAATAATTTCAAATCTAAGATTTTAAAAACTCACTATCATAACATTTAGAATTAACTAGGGTTTGCATTCTTTACCATAGCTTGCATCCTTAATCTTAATTTTGCCTGCGATGTGCATTGCTGAATGTAATTGCTGTTTTTCTCTCCTGGAGAAACTGATCTAGCTTCGCAAAAAAATTCAATATGTACATGATGCTTCTCCTGCAAGGAAATTAATTCTCTTTATGTACTACTTAATAGCAGCTGCTGAAGCTTCAGAATGTTGACAAGTTACGTGAAATGTGGAATGCTTTTCTAGAGACGTAAGAAATATTCCTGCAATCCACTGTTGAATATTTGCCTTCAGAAAATGGCTTATGTCTGTGTACCATAGGACAGATAATATACCACTCAGGATAATCAGTTGGCAACTGGCTTCTAAATAAAATTCCTAAATATTAAACATTAACTAGCGCTCAGACTTTGCTCAACAGCCTTGAAGTGTCAAATTATGTTTCAATGACTTGACTGTTTCTATTAGAAAAAGAAGTAGCATTAGCATCTATAAATAAAAGTCTGCTTTCTGCCTAAATCAGGGGCAGGAACCCTTGGGCTTTCTAGCCACTGAGGAACTACCAGTGCCATGGCAACCAAGGGTCTGTCCCAATTGGTATCTGGCCCCACATATGTTGGTGGACACACTCTACCAATGGTTCTCAACCTGTGGGTCCCCAGGTGTTTGGCCTTGCCTTGCCTTGCCTCACCTCGCCTCGCCCAGTGCTAGTACAAGTGTAGTTGGGGTAGAGGCTGCTCTAGTATGGAGACATTAGTCACTTAAATGAGCTTGGAAGACAGAAGAAAATGAAAGTACCTGGATGAAACACATATGTTGACAAGTGTTTTTAAAGCATAGCAGCATCACATTTAATTTACTCCTAAATTGGAATTTACACTAAAATTAGTGTGGCTTTCCTTCAAGTGCACATTCCCCACTCCCAGTCCCATTTAGTGAAATGTGCTGTGTAGCAGAAGCTGATCAGTTGTTTCATAGACATCAAAAATACCAGGGCCTGCAAAAGATGCATCTCAAAGAACTGGTTTATCCATTACTTTTAGAAGAATATGGTCCACAATAAGACTTGTAGTGTAAGCATTTCCGTAATACATTATATTCTCCATCTTCTCTGTAATTCAAATATACAATAACTTACAAAAAGCAATCCAAGAATCAGACTAGTGCTGGTGGCTCTTGCCTTTCATTTTAGAAACATTAAAAAAGTCTGCATTACCCTCTTATAACTTAAATACATAAGTATTCTGCACTTTATTTCATTGACTGCGACTTCAAATTTACATTATTTTAGGTACCATCATAACAGCTCCATTTATAATACAGATATTGGCCAAGAATCCATTGGGAAATAAAAAAACTTCACTATATATATATATTTATATAAAAAATTAGGCTGAAAAGACAAGAACACAGGACAGGGACTTGATACAGACTTAATTTAGTTTTATAATCAACCACATTTAACCCAATGTTAACAGATACATAGCAATATTTGAGAGCAGTGCAAATATCTTTGTAGGTTAGAGTAAAATCATACTACAAGAACATAAGATGGGGGAAAAGGCAAGTACTTCAAGTACAAGGAACAAGTCTCAATGAGGTCTTTCAGTGTTTACAAGGGCTTCCTATTCCAATTTATTTCTTCCTCTGGAATACGTTAGCCAGCATGGCTCCTGAGGTGGTCAACTGGCCCATTTTGTTCAAAAACTTGGTCTTGGTGTCTTCACTCACAAGGCTTGCCGCAATTGACATAGAACTGGGGAGGAAGGAAAAGCAAATTAATATATGGCATCACTCATGAAAAATGATTCTATTTGGTAACAAAAGCTTTTCGCCTTGGAAGTCTGCTGCCAGTGACACCAGCACTACTTGCTGTAGACCAGTGGTTCCCAACCTTTTTTCAACCAGGGACCACTTTGACCACTTTGACCAGGGACCACTCTCTAACATTAGTACCAAAAAGGTTACAAATCAGTTTGGTCAACTTTAGATTCAGTTTGGTTAATTGGGGTGCTGACTCAGAAAATTCCATTGGATAGATCACATCAGCTCTAGTTTCTGATACAGAACATATGCCATCCAGTAGTTGCCATCTTCTTGCCCACAGAAAACCATATTTAATAATCTAGAGCTGATGTGGTAGTAGTAATCTTTCATGGGTAGTCAGCTTCTCCCCTCCCAACATCCTCATTGCCTCAGCACTATAAAAGGGTTTCGCGAGACCAGTCACTCTTGTTGCCGTGTGGTTTCAAGGCAACGGTTTGGTAATGGTGAGGCCACAGACCATATTTTCATTCTTGTGGACCACTGGTGGTCCATGGGCCACAGGTTGGGAACCAATGCTGTAGACAAAGGAGCTCACTTAAAGTAAGGCGGATTTATGTGTGACATAATGAAATTCTAAGAAACTGCTGCAAACTGTAACTGTAAGATCTTTTTGAATAATGGCATCTAAAATCCTGTCTAAATGAGATCTTCATATGAGACTTACTCATCGTTTCAATGGTTTTAAGATTAATGAACCTGGCATCTCTTACTCATAGGCTGAGATCACTTTCACTGGTTGCATACCATGAAATTATTCCAGTTACACAGGAGCTATCCTGGGTTGTGTGTAGTAAGGGATTGCTTGACTGCTTGTACATACTCTTAAGATAGCAGAAGTCCTTGTCCAATGGTTGAGCCAACATAACTCAATTTGTACAGCAATTTAAATATTACCCTTATGCAAAAATTATTTAAGCAAATTCAAGGCACAAGAAGCAATTGAGCCCTAAATATGCTTGTTCTCATACCCGGGTAAAAAAAGTAAAATAATGAGTCAAAAAGTAAAAAAAATAAAAATAAATTTAGTGGCTTGACGTGCAAATAATAAATATATTTCAGATTTTTTCTATTTTAAAACAGTATCTCTAGGAACTTTGGCATTTCCAGTAATGATTTCACATAAACAAAATGATTTATTTTATAAATAAAATCTAAATAAATAAATAAATAAAACTTTTATTTGTATTCCGCTCTATCTCTCTGAGGGTAGTCAGGGCAGTTTCCAACATATGTAAAGCATTTCAATTACTGGCATAACTGGGACCTCGACTATTTATCCCCAAGGCCTACTGCACAGCTAAAGAGGGCTGGGCCAATGGGGAAACATAGGGCCAGGGGTGTGGGTAAAGTGCACAACAGGACCCTAAGTAATGACCAGGCTATTGCCTGGGGCTATTAGTTTCCAGGGCCTGCTGAATGGCTATAATATGGCTGGGCTAGGGCTAGTACAATGAAGTAGGAGAGGTCCAGAGAAGTGGGTAGGATGCAGAACAGGGACCTAATTGATGGTCGGGTAGGACCTGGTCTAATTAATCATGTTTTGCCAGTGATTTGAGAGCTAACATGGTCTAGTGGTTTGCCCTTCAACATGCCCTAATTTTTCTGGGAGACAAGAATTCAAATCCCTTTTCAGCTATGGAAATCCACTCTCCCAGCCTCAGAGAAAGGCCATGGTGAGCCCAGAAGAAAAAAGCTGATGATCTGACCAAGAAATTACTAAAATGTTGAGAACTTCCTAATGATTCTACTGCAATGGCCAACGAAAAGGATCTGAAATGAGGCAGGGGCACATAACTTATTACTGTTGATTGGGTGGGATTACCATTCTAGAAGCTTCTGAGGATCTTTATGGAGGCACAGAGTGACCCATGTGTATGAATCACAGGGACCATGAAGAAGCCACTAAACCTTGACCGAATATCTAATTCAACCTTAACTTTGTCATGAATTATGTATTGTCCACATAAGGAAAGCAGATGCTAACACGATTATGGGCCTCATAACACTAGAGAAAAAAATCCACTTAAAATTCAGTTTCTGTCTCCTGCAGAATTCTGGGGTTTGTAGTTTAGGTAGGAGCTTTTAACTGCCTCACTAAACTACAAACCCCAGAATTCTGCAGCAGGCAGAAACAGGATTTTAAGTGGATTTTTCCTCTAGTGTGATGGGTATGTAACACAATTTTTGTTCCAGGTTTATAAAGAACATTTCTTTATTGGTTCTATCATAAAACATAGTTGATTAGACCGCAAAAACTTTGCTATAGTTTTTCAATGAATACCTCATAGGTTCTCAACCAATCCAACATAGTTTGTGGCAGCCACAAAAATAGAGTTTCTGAAATATAACAACTACTTTCAAAGTAAGTACACCACAATTAAACAGAAAATAACACTTTCAAACCAGGAACATATTTTTATTTTTCAAATTTTGTTACATTGTGTAATGCGAAAGAAAATTCAACATCTTACCCTTGTGGTTCTTGGACGCTCCTATTTTCCACTTTCTGTTCACATTCTTTTATCATGGAGCTTAAAATAACCTGAAACATAGGAGAGGGCAAGTTGAAGTTCAAAGATTAAAAGGTTTAAATATATTTATAGTTTGTGATTGTATACGTTCTCAAAATGGATACAAAAGTCAAGATTTTACACCCTTTTAACATAGCACAAATATATACTGTCAGAATTATGCTGAACTGCACCCAGCCATACTGAAACAAACTATTATTTCCCTACACACTAAGTCAAAAGTCAGAGTAATGGCTATGTGTATCCCTGTGGAAATATTTGCTGCAGTAAGAACTGTACTCATGCAATCTCCGAGAAAGGTTGCTGTAACAAAGAGGTTAATTTTATTCTATTTTACTGTTAACCGTAATATAGCATTTTGAAAACAAACATATGCAGAATCAAATAATCATATTATCAGATGGCCAGCCAGCCTCTGCTTAAAAACTCCAAATAAGTTGTTGTCATTTTTAATACACACCCTTCTCACTATTCAGTGGCACTTTCTGTTTTCCAAGTTCATGTGGGTGTGACATGTTTGGCTATTGCCATGGAGCTGAAAAATATTGTTTCTTTAATGTTAAAAATTGTTTTCTTTTCTGTGGACGTGGTATGTCTATTGTGCCCTCACTGGTTTGCTGTACAGTCATCTTTATTTTTGCATGTCCTTCTGCTCAATACAACATGTGTGTTTGCAACCATGGATTACAAAATGAGTCGGTTTTCTGAAGTGTGAAATGTATGGTATGCTTCACTGTTTCATGTGCCCTTAATTGGCCAATTACTGAGTAAATGGAAGAAAAGATGTGGAAACCTTTTAAACAAATACCCAGAGATAATACTGCAAGTTTTTGAAATTTCCTAGAGAGCAGTGGTTCCCAACATTTTTTTGACCAAGGACCACTTGACCAGTCGCTCTCATTGCCACATGGTTTTGAGGCAACAGTGTAGTAATGGTGAGGCTGCGAACCATATTCTTGCGGACCACTGCTCTAGAGCAACAACTATGAATTTGTGTCTATATTTTTTACCCTGTCTCATCTCATACAGTGATTTTCTCCTCCTATCAGTATCTGTCTGAGCTTAGGCCAAACAGTCCAAAAATGAAGCATGGAGTACAATCTTGAAAGTCCAGATTAGAGGTTGCATTTCTTTTGCCACCCACTTGCAAAAGGACAGCTTCAATTACTCACCTCATGTTCTGGTGAGAGAGTTTCCATGTCATTTCGTAAACACCTGAGTCCAGGTAAAAAGTGGTTGACCATTAATTCCTCAGAAATAACTAGAAGACAGGTAGTTAAGGTCTAACATGGTAATAATAAGGACTGTCTCTCACTTTCATTTCCAGTCAAAATTAGAAAATAACATGCTAAATTCATGCTATCCTGTAAATACAGAGCCTTCCCTTTGAAGACATCCCCACTATTACCACTATACTTACTTCTTGGGAAAAATTCATACAAAACCTGATGTAATTATTGACAAATGCAGCGTATTTGCAATGTCAAAACAATTTCATCAAGGCTTGACTATGAGGAAGACAAACATAAATAGAAACATGTTCCTAACATAAAGCCTAAAACGAAGCACAAAAATAAAACATTGGTTCTTGATGCTAAATTAAATTGATGCTTAAAGTTGACATTATTTGTCAGATGTTACTTTTCATACATCTAGTTAAATATGCATTAAAACCTTGTAATAAGTGCAAAAGTCCCCTTTACATAATTCAAAATAGCACACCATTATCTGCCACTCTTCATATTGTTCCCTCTGCATTAGTTCTTTAGACCATTGAACACTATTTCTTTTCCCAGCAATGTCTGATACCTAGGCTATTACTTGTGTGTTTTCTTTCCTATGTGGAATGCAGCTCAGGCTTCTTTTAATTGTAGTTCCTCTTTCTTTCTTATGGGCCCCTGTGATCTTTTCTAGGTAAGGATAAAAGAGAATTTGTTTTGTAGTCCTCTCACAGACTACCATCAAGAAAAGCTTCTTTAACTCTACTTTCTAGAACTACAATTTGAGTATATTCAAACATGTTCTCTAAATAATATCACTTCTGTTGTGTTTTTTATATTTTAAAACATAGCATTCAAGCCTACGTATGGGAATTTAAAGGGTTTAAAAATCTGAATTTAGGATGCTATTATTTGAAACAATACAGGTATAAAAAGCTTTAGCTACACTTTGTTGCCAGCCAAAATTTGTGTTTGGAACATCCAGGTAGTGTGTGAATAGGGCCCCTTTTGATATTACGTTAATTCACAAACCAGGGAAACAGGGGCAGATATTGTTTTCTTTTTGTCACCAGCTCTGAACCTTGTTGTAGGAGGTAAAGATTAAGCCTTGCTGAGTTGGGCCTCTATTTTCCTGCTGCCGCAAAGCCTAGGAGCAGCCTGGAGGGAAATGTGGAGAGCTTTGTAATTGGCTGGGAGAAGACAGTGAAGCCAAAGTTGGTCAGTTAGTTAAAGTTTATAGATAGCTATTAGGAAGAATAGCTGGTATAGAGAATGGACAGATCCAAGGAAAAGGACTGTCTGGAGTTTTAGGAATACTAGTCAGAGGGAAGCCTGCTAGTATCCTGAGGGAGTGAGGAATTGTTTTTGGAACTAAGTCATGAACTGTTTTAAAGTAACCATACGCTCCAACTCATTATTGCAACCGTTAAGCTCAAGTGCCTGTATTGTTAAAGTTCTCATAAATAAACAACTTTGTTCTTTGTTAAACAACAACTGTCTCAAGAGTGCCTCTATGTGAAAATAGTTCCATAGCAGTTTAAGGAAATAGAGTTATAGGACTGGTGGCAGCGGATATCTAAAGGAATCTCATTGTTATTTACCTCAGAGGTCAGTGCCCTGTGACGTCCGTGTCAGCTCATCCTCGAGTGAAATGATTTTTGAGAGGAGCCACTTTGTAAGGATCTCAAAACAAGTCACAGATTTCTCTTGTGGGATTTGAATTTAGAGCTGAATGTATGACGAGGACTACTTTTAGACCCCAGAGGCATCTGAGTTCTGATGGACTCATTACTGAAGTAAGATATAACATTTTATACTACGTGTTGCCATATTAAAAATACAGTTCAGAAATAATGAAGGATACAACAACAGGAGAGTGCACTGTAGGCCTCAAAGAGATGAGTGGCAATGTCCAGTCTTTTTGAATCCATAGACTGTTGGTTATTTACCAAGGCAAGTTTATGCAAATGTGGAATGACAACTGGAAAAAAAGATATGTGAAGTAAAAATAATTAACAATGCTTTCAGATCAAAGTTTGAAAAAAATAACAATAATAATTAGGAGAAACAAGAATCACGAAAGGTTTTATGATAACTTACATTCATCTCTAAATCTTGGCTCAGCATTTGGTCCAACTCTACCAAAGGTTTTAATGATTTCTGTATGTAGAGAGTGTTGATCTTGATACTGGGGATCTTCCAAAAATGAGGCCAACTGCATTTTAACTCTTTCCAACAGCTGAAGAGAAAATGTAACAGAAATTATCAATGGTCTAATTTATACAATAAGAAAAAAAATATTCAGGGGAAACAAATTTAAATTATACAACACAGCTGTATATATAATACGAACCCCAAGTAATTCTCAGTTTTTTGTCATTACAAAAACTCTGGCTTTTTAAAATTAAGGTTGTATAATCTTTAAATCTCTTTTATAAACACCTTATTACAAATTTATAAACATTCCAAATCCCATCTGTTCTTGACTGATACCCAGAACGGTCTTTTTTTAAAAAAAGGAAGTGTAGGCTATGAATTCTAATCAATCCTACTATTACTTAATTAAGATCTGAATAAAAGTAAGACTCGTTACCATGTCAAGACTAATACAGAGTAATCCTCACAACTTAAAAATGGAAGTCATGAGGATTCATCTGTATTAGTCTGTATAACCCATGTACATGTTTTTCTTGTGTAGTCATCCAGAGAATTTCACCCTTACAGCCCAAGGTTTTTGCCAGCACAGAAAACAGAATAATAGCCAGAAATTATGACAAAATCTATTCCAAGCGGTTATTTAAAGGGACATAGGGGAATAAAACCCTTCTCCTATAAACCGTGCTTTAGACAGATTATGAATCAGTGGCCTATACAGCAGTCACAGACATTCGACTTACATATGACTTACAGAATGGGGGTGAGACAACAGGAAGTGAGAGAAATCTATGCCTAGAAAGAGAAATTCACTCCCGAAAGAAATGAGTCTCCATTGAAGCTTATGAACAATTCTTGTTTCCACAACAGGCCAACATTTTCAAAATCAGTTGTCTCAGGTGAGGTGAAGTCCTTTGAACAGGGGCACAGATAGCAAAACAAATGTTACAGGGGTGTTAACCCTTCCCTATGCTATCCAAACTAGAAAGAAATGGCTGGAGTTATAATTTTAAATGTCTGTTCTGACTTAAATACAAATGCAATTTAAGAACAAACCTAAAGAACCTAGTTTGGCTGTAACCTGGGGACTGTTTGTATTCAGTGTTTGCCTATATTTGTGGGCAAGCAGGAAGTGGTACACCCCCTTTTAGTATGGAAATATCAGTGAAATGAAAGTGGGAACAGTAACCATTTGATTGCCTGATTTTTAGCACTCAGCTGCAGGCCCTGGCACCTTGGGCCTGCAGGCCACACACACATACACACTCCTTGGAAAGAGAGTGTGTGTGTGGCCTGCAGGGCCTACGCTGCAGCTGAGCACTAAGAGGTGGTCAGCCTGGAAGCACCTTTGGACCCCAGCAAGAGGGCGCTTTGGGACCCAGCAAGCAGCCACTGAACGCAGAAAAAGCTGATTTGGAAAGGCACTGGTTTTTGTGAGAGGCGCTTGAAAACGAAAACGGGGCTTTACGAATGAAACAAACAGAAATGGATAGTGATTCTATACAAATGCATAATACTATTAGATTATATGCAGATATCCTACCTCCCTCTGGGTGACTGTTTCCATGATAGTACCAAAGGCAGGAATTGTGGCTATTCTCACAGAGCTAATGAGAAAAACAAAAAGCAACAACAACAAATAAAATACCTTGAGTCTTTAAAACAAGTTGCAATTAAAAATAATGCAATTTCAAAATTAACATATATATATTAATTTCTAGCAATGACAAGAGAGAGGCCAGGTAGTATGCTCAAAATAATATTTAAAAAGGAGAGAGATAAAGAAAAAGAGGATGAACTCAAGTTTGCTAATAGAAACTCACAATTCAGGATCACTGGACAAGGTAACAAGGGCCGGAGCAACCCGCTTGTCAACTAAGGCTTCACTCATGCCTCGAAGAGTCAGCTGTAAACCAGTCAACATGCAATAAAAATGGGTTTAAACTGAAAGGATAATTTTGTTAGCTGTGACTGAGGCTGGGCAAGCAGAGTCACTGGCCTTTCTTAGTTACCTACACTGAATATTAGCACAGTTAAAGGACTCTATTCATGCTTCAGCATTTACTGGCAATAACATGTTAGTGAGAGTAGCATCCCTCTTCAGCATGGAAGAAACAAGCATCAGTGTGCGGCCTTTGGGACAGGTCTGCAATTATTATTGTAATGACCTTTCAATGCAGAGAAAAAAGAGCAACAGTATTCCAAATGTGACCGTGATTTCACCAGTCAACAGAACATATACCTGTTGTTTATTAAGGATTTGTGACACTGTTGTTTAAAAAACTATTTTTAGGTTTCATTATCAGAATATTTAAACACACACACACACACTTATGGTTTTATTTCTTGGCAGGTTGTAAGAGGGATGCTAGCTTTATAAGACGGTCAGGAAACTTACATTTCAGGGTCACTGGAGAGAGTAATGAGAGCAGGAACCACTCTCTGAGCTACCAGAGTTTCATGGACCCCCTTCACCAACAGCTGAGTGGGCAGAGCAGAGGGGGGCCACAGGTGATGCACGGAAAGAGTGAGCACAGTATCATGGGAAGAACAGCACAACCAAGAGGAAGAGAAACACAAAAAAGCAAACCAAAATTAGAAGCCAGTATCACTACGCTAAAGTGCCCCTTTAATATAAATAGGCAGAAGGCACAATGAAAGCGCACATGGCCCAAGCAGGCAGGACACACTAGACAAACTATGGAGCTGTTAAAAAAAACAAACGAAATAAACAAAAAACTGATGGCATCCCGGGCATTAGTACTACAATTTTAGAAAACCCTAAAATGGATTTCATTTTAAAAAGTCTCTGTTCTGGCCTTGTTATTCTACTTCTAGCAGGGATATTCAAATTTGCTAAAATCAAAAATGGCCGTGTGGTTCCTGGACAAAACCAAACATTATTTATGAGGACTACATTAAAACGCCACTCAAGAAGCACAAACAATTCAGCAGGTTGGAAATTTCAAAACTTTCCCCATCCCTTTCCCCCCCCTTCAACTTCCAGCCTGACAAAGAGTTCAGGAAAAACTACTTTGAGATTATTTAAATATTTTAAATAAGAGTATTACCCAACTCTTTCTTTGTTCAGTTACTGTCAAATGCAGGAGGAAAGAGGAAGGGGAGTATTTTTAAATAATTGATTTCATGTGGCCAATAAATATACCAACTGACAAGTAGTTCATAGTGCAACCATATACTGCACTCTGGGTCTGGCACTGAGTTACAATGGAATTAAAAGGCACAAATGACTAACATACTAAGACATCCATCCATCCATCTATCTATCTATCATCTTGAGCCACCTCTGTTGAAAATCAGTTCTTGCAAGACTATCACTTTTCACAATGGAAATTGATGTATTTTAAACATGACTTTGTAACTTTGACTTGTAATTGTTTTAAAATGCACTTTTATTTTTTTTAAAATCAAACACACGAGCAATAGATTTCTGTCTACATGTTGGATTCCTGGAACTATTGCAAGCTGTCTTTACTGTCCATATCAGGACTGTAGAGGCGGAAGTATCTGCTTCTTAGACATGTTTGGGTACATACATAAAGGGTGTTTGGAAAATCAGCATGCCAGAAAACAAAATACTAGATTGAAATGGTGCATTTTATATGTACAGGCAGTCCCCAAGTTACAAATATCCAACTTACAAACAACTCATAGTTAAGAGTGGTTTTTTTTTCTGTGTCAGGAGTGACTTGAGAAACTGCAAGTCGCTCCTGGTGTGAGGGAATTGGATGTCTGCCCAGAGGATGCCTGGATGTTTTACCATCCTGTGGACGGCTTCTCTCATGTCCCCGCATGAGAAGCTGGAGCTGACAGACAGGAGCTCACCAAACTCCCTGCATAAGAAGCTGGAGCTGACAGGCAGGAGCTCACAAAACTCCTCGGATTTGAACCGCTGACTTTTCAGTCAGCAGCCCTGTCAGGCACAAGGGTTTAACCCATTGCGCCACTAGGGGCTCCAAGAACAGGGGTGAGACAACAGGAAGTGAGAGAAATCTACCCCTCAGAAGGGGAATTCATTCCTGGAAGAATTAGCATGGGGAAAAGGTGCCTCCACTGAAGCTTTCTCATCAATCCTTGTTTCTACAACGCCATTTAAAAAAAAAATCCAGTGATCACAGGGACAGAAAGTGGGGTGAAATATTCTCAACAGCGGAACAGACATCAAAACAAACACCAGAGGGGTGTTAAGCCTTTCCTATACTATCCAAAGCTATCTAACTATCTATGACTGGATTTACACTAAAAATGTACCTGTTCTGACTTACATATAAATTCAACGTAATAACAAACCTACAGAACCTATCTTGTTTGTAACGTGGGGATTGCCTGTATTAGCACTTCATTTTCAGTAATGGTTTCTAAATCTTCATAATAATAATAATAAAAAATAATAATTTATTTCTGTTCCGCCCTATATCCCTGATAGGACTCAGGCTTTTTTTTTTTTTAGAGCAACCCAATTTAGAACCAAAGGATCAATCTCTTAGTTTCCGCTGTTTCTTACACAGTGGAAACTGTGTGAGAAATGTGATATGAATTCACTAGTTACTTGAGAACTACTGCAGGAAAATGGCAGAGGTTGACTAGTTCCAAACATAGCTTTTCTTTAAAATATCTGTTAGAAAACGTAGAAATATTTAAGTATTTGCTAGAACCAAAAAAACTTCCAATGATTTATGTTAATTTCCCCCCACAAATCCAAACATATAAGTTATAAAGAACACTAATGTGCTTCCAAAACTAAGTTTCCAGGATGAGACAGCAAATCTGAGGTGACTCCATTTGACATACTAAGGCTATACTTACTGAATTATTACTGGAATTGTTCTAAGGTTAGGGGACAAATATTCTCTTTCATGGGGTATCAAAGTAGCAAAGATGCATTAATTTTTAATGTTTAGGGTTTTTAAAAAACCTATAATGTCTTTACATTTCTTACACATATGTCACTGAAGAAAAAGCTCCAGATACTAATGTTCGCTCATTACTATGTTGGAAGCCGACCTAAGTCCCCATGGGGAGATAAGGCGGGATGCAAATGAAGTTCTATTATTATTATTATTATTATTATTATTATTATTATTTACTATTATTACTATTATTATGTTATTGTTGATATCATATTGTTTTTGTTGACCCTACTTTTCCACTTATAGAGTTAATTTACTGTTTTTATTTGATAAAATTTGTAAAATTGGTTAAAAGTGGTAAAATTAGGTGCCTTGGCTTATATTCGGGTTGGGTTATACTCGAGAATGTACGGTATTCTTTTGGAAAAACCCAAGCAACTAGCAGTGAATGGGATATTCATCACAGGACCTCTATCAAACTTCTGCCCACTCATGGTTTCAACTGAGGGACTACTTCACAGATTAAAGTTCATATTCCTAATACACAAAATTTGTGTTCAAACCAGGATCAACATAGAATATTAAAGATACTTTGCATAGTGCAATATAGCTGACAGGCACATAAAGGCATAAAAGGGGACAGCCAGATTAAAAAACAGCATGATAGTATACAATGGTCCCAGATTGCACTCTATATTTACTTTTCCTCAATATCATAATAATCATTTCTGCATATACATGAATTAGACACTGGAAGATGCTTGTATGTTGCTATTATTCAACTATTCTTTAATAAAAAGCTTACACTTATGGTTGAGAAAGGTATATGGTATATGAAAGAGCAATTACATTACATGGTTTAAGGGTAAATTAAAAACTGAACTAGGAAAACAGTCTGTAGGACACAGGCTAATCTGATAATCATTTTCTTTTACTTGCATTTCACCATAAAAGAAAGCCGAAACCAGAAAATAAACTTACTCATGGAGCAGCTATAGCTACAATGACAATTTGAAGAGGAAAGAAGACTATTGTCTTTTGTGACATCACTCCCAACTAAGCCATCTAAGACAGAGGGCATGCCATAACTAAAATACACTCTTATTTCTAATTTTCTGTGCTATATTGATCAGGTCTTTGAGAAATAATGAGAATCCACACACGATATCATATGCAAGTAGAATCTATTTTTACTGTAGAATTTTCCCCTAACCAGATTATTTTGTGATTCTCATGACACCTTCACGGATTTGAAAGCTACCAGACTGACGTAGTGCTGGTAGTCAATCTGTTAATGCAGAGGTGCAAAATTATAGTCCACCTTCCCATTAGCCTGGTCAAGGTAGCAAACGTAATGAAAACTGTGTGAAGGAATCACATTAAATCAATCCAAAAATATTTTTTTTCATCAACAGAAAATTTAAGGCTGGTCTCTCTATGTTTCTGCTAACTTATGTATAGTTGAGGCAAAGATGGTAAATAGTGAGTAGCTGCAAACACATTCTTTTGAAGCAATTAATGTTATGTGTGCCAGCAGCAGCAATATTAGAAGCATCAAGATAACATGCTGGATTGAAGAGTTTCTTCCCTATTTAATTTTCAAATGGATTTTGTTTTTAAATAATAATATAGGTCATTTTGGATTTTATTCTTGAGCGCAATTTTGCCATTGTCATTTGACAATCTGCGGTTTACAAGATAGCAACAACAGATATCTGGTTTGAACACTGAATTCAGCACCGAAATGATTTCTTATAGCCAATGGAAGATGTTAAGCATGCAGTGCACCAACTTAATTGTCAAGTTAGAAACAGAAGGAAGTATAACTTTGCCAGTTACCATGAAAACATCTTGCAAATGGATACATGAGTGCTGGAAAACTTACAGCTATACTGCAACCAAACTACAGAATGTTGTCGAAGACTTTCATGGTTGCAATCACTGGGTTGCTGTGAGTTTTCTGGGCTGCATGGCCATGTTCCAAAAGCATTCTCTCCTGATGTTTCACCCACATCTATGGCAAGCATCCTCAGAGGTTGTGAGATCCTCAGAACCTCTGAGGATGCCTGTCATAGATGTGGGTGAAACATCAGGAGACAATGCTTCTGGAACATGGTCAACACAGCCCAGAAAACTCATAGTAACCCAAAGTACAGAATGTTACTATCCTGCTCCCTCATCACAGTACATGTCTAAGAAATATTTTAAAATAAAATTGTACATCATTAATTAATATTATTTTTCATTCTCTGGATGTATGAGACAATATAAGGCCCAGGTCATTAAATAATTATCTTCGAACATGTCATCTGGCTGATCAATGCAAAGGGGAACACAGGCTGGAGTCCCACATTCTAGTAGTGCTGTTAAACCATGTTATAAACCATCTTTAAACAGTATCTAGTTTTATATTTGTATTATAATACAATTGAACAAAAAACAAAACTGCCCTTCAAACAGGTTCCAAACTTTGTGGAATGAGCACATACCTCAAACATTCTAGCAGCTGTACACCGAACAAGTGCTGAAGTATGAACGACTCCATACCATAATACGGTTAGCAGCAATTCATGGTATGCTGGGTTTGCACTGAAAAAGAAACAAAAACAAAACAATCCAGGTTGAACAATAAATAGTCATTTGCCCATTTGACTCCATTTACTGTGCATTCTGGCTCTTCGAGTAGCTCTTCAAATGTCACCTTGTCTCTGGAGCTTTTTGTTAATCTTAGTCATCAGTCTAAACCCAAAATGAAATGTAGCTGCACTTTGTTTGCATTTTAGCACTTTCCTTTCCTTTCTGCAGGATGCCCCGCAAAAACAAAGTTGTTGCAGTTTAATCAACTTTTCCCATGTTTTAATGATAGAACCAATTAAGAAATGACATTTATAACCCAGAAACAAAATTCGTGTTACATAGTGTTATCCTATGTGCAAATATTATTATTTGTTTATTATTTACCGCATTTGTACCCCACCCTTCTCACCCCGAAGGGAATTCGGAGCACCCTTACAACTGGCAACAATTTGATGCCATACATATACATATCCATAAAATAAACAAATACATTAAAATCCAAGTAGTTAAAACATCAATTATTAAAACATCAATTAAAATCATGCTAGTGCCAACAAGAACAGATCTATTAAATCAACAGAAATATGGAAAGAAGTCCTTCTGAATCACTGTGTCTATTTAGTTGGAACGAAGAACTGGATTTTGATTATTAAGGTGCTAAATTCTTAAATCAATACTCTGCATGAGAAACATAACCACTTTATCCCAGTTACAAAGATATAGTATACTTTACCCCAATTCCACAAAGGATGCTTTCAGGCTATCAAGGGGAGCATGGGACAATGAAAGCATCGTCATTACATCTTCTAAAAATCCTACCAACAGCTTGCGGTCTTCTTCCTGGGAGGAAGTTTTAAAAAATTAAGGGTTAGTTTCATAATTTACATTAAAGGGTAGCTGAACACCCAGCCCCAAGTCCTTCAGAATTAGGTATATTTATTTATTTATTTATTTTTATTTCATACTTTTACCCCGCCCTTCTCCCACCAAGGGGGGACTCAGGGCGGCCTCACATAAGCATCGTAATAATTAGGTACAGCATCTGTTTGGGATATGTACATGACATCTACTGTTCAGCTCTTTGAGCCCTAAGTCCCAATGAGCTATACTAAATCACCATTTAGGGGTCAGCAATCAGTCTAACATTGAGCTCAGCAGCCAAATTAATGTCCCATATAGTCAACTGACCAAGCACCTCTGAGTATTCCTTGCCTAAGAAAATGCTATTAAATTCATAAAATCATAGGCTGACAGGTGACTTGAAAGCACATATATACGCACATAGTCATGATATTTTTAATACAGTTTATTTAATCATTATACACAAATAATATTGCAGACTATAAATTAAGGCTATGAATGAAGTAAAGCATGCAGCTCCATGCTTGCACAGTCTTTGCCATAAGCCTGATGGCTGCAAATGCTTAATTTCCACTGTAATTGTTATGCAAGAATTCATCATCAAATGCAGTCTAAGTGAAACAGCAATTTTGCTGTTTTCATTTTGCCTTAAAAACTAAAATATTCAAGTAGGTAATACAGGGGGGGAAGCTTACCTGGATATAACATGTAAGTACACCTGTTGCATAGATAGGGACTGTGGCTTTTGTTAGCACTCCATTTCCTGCTGTAGCATCTGAAATGAAAACATAAACAATTGGTCAATAAAAAGCTGTTCTCAACATGCTTGTCCAAGAATTAAGTTTACATTAGCCAAATCCAATAATATTGTAATGAAAAATAAGGCTACCTTCTTCTTTGCCTAATTTCTATTATTAATAAAACATGTGGCTACTATATTTTTGTTGATACAAACTATACAAGTCTGGGGTGTACACATATACACCTCCTTCTGATTTAATCAGCTATTCTATAAAACATCATAAACTGCACAGGCACTTGCTGTTTTTTTAAAGTCTAATACTAAGATTAACAAATGAAATTTTAAAGCATATTAAGCTGTGCCCATATTCCCATCTACAGAAGGCTTTTTTTTTGGTGTCAGGAGCGACTCGAGAAATTGCAAGTAACTTCTGGTGTGAGAAAATTGACTGTCTGCAAGGACGTTGCCCAGGGGACGCCCAAATGTGGGAGGCTTCTCTCATGTTCCCATATGAGAAGCTGGAGCTGACAAATGGGAGCTCACTCTGCTCCCCGGATTTGAACCGCTGACCTTTTAGTCAGCAGTCCTGCCGGCACAAGGGTTTAACCCATTGTGCCACCATTACAGAAGTAATAAACTTGAAGACAATTTCTACTCTGCTTGACATTTGTTTAAGCCTGTAATAAAAAGAAAATAACAAAAAACTCACCTATATTCTCTTCAGAAAGCCTCAAAATTTCCTGGAATTGCGGTTTTACCTAAAAACAAAATATAAACTGAAGACATTCTTTTGTACCTCATATATAATAGAAAGGTGTCAGTAAAACATTTGCATTATATAAAAATACTGTTTTAAAACTTCAGTGTATGTGCACATCACAGTTTACAAGAAATACTGGAAAAGTTGAAATTAAGAATGGAAAATACTGGCTTCTAAATGTACTGTTTTCTAGTCACCATAGTCATAGTTTTGAGGAAAAGGTGGGGTATGAATGAGGTTAACACAATATGTTCTTGGTACCACTGAGGCTTGGTTCTAGGACTTTGTGTGCAGGGCATGTCTCTATATTTTTAAAGTCCAATAGGTTTCTATTTATTTATTTGTGATATTTCTATATCGCCCTTCTCAACCCCGAAGGGGACTCAGGGCGGTTCACAGGGTTGGCAAGAATTCAGTGACATCAATAAAACAGTATAAAACATTAAAATTGATCCTCCCCAGATAAAACATTAAAGGTTATTAAACACATCATGTAAAATAGCATCACCTATCACACAGAGACATAACCATTGCCCGTAAACAGTCCTGGGTCATTGTACTTTCAATTTTCACTTTAACTTTAAATATTTCTATGATGGGCCAAACGCTTGGTTCCACAGCCAGGTCTTTAGTTGTCTCCTAAAGATCAGGAGGGGGCCAACCTGATCTCACTTGGGAGGGAGTTCCATGGCTGTGGGGCCACCACTAAGAAGGCCCTGTCCCTTGTCCCCACCAGCCGCACATGTGAGGCCGGTGGGGCCGACAGCAGGGCCTTCCCGAAAGATCTTAATCTATGAACGGGTTAATTGAGGGAGATACAGTTGGACAGTTAAGTTGGACCAGAGCCGTTTAAGGCTTTATAGGTTTTATAAAGCCAACACTTTGAATTGTGCTCGGTAGCTAATAGGCAGCCAATGGAGTTGCCACAACAGGGGGGTTGTATGCTCCCTGTTCAATGTCCCAGTTAACAATATGGCTGCAGCGTGCTGGACTATTTGCAGCTTCCAAACAGTCTTCGAAGGCAACCCCATGAAGAGTGCGTTGCAGTAGTTTAAATGGGATGTAACAAGAGTGTGGACTACCATGACCAAATCAGACTTCGCAAGGTATGGGCACAGTTGGCGTGCAAGTCTTAGTTGTGTGAATGCCCCCTGGTCACTGCCAACACCTGGGGTTCCAGGCTTAGCGATGAGTCCAGGAGGACTCCCAAACTGCGAATTAGTCTCTAGACTCTATTTCAGAACTCCCAATTTCAGGTCATGGGGAAAAAAATCTGTATCTAATAAAAAAGCTAACAGTTAGTTACATGTGAGATTACGGGACTTTAAGAACTTTTAAAACTTGTGGTTGGCCACAAACCACTCTTGGTCTAGACTTGAAATACGGTTCATTGAAACAATGGGTAAGCACTCCATTTATCAAGCTAGACAGAAAGACCGGGGTTCTTTCCTTTTTGCAGATGAATATGATGGGAGAAATCCCTATTGCCTCTATTCTTATCTATAGGAATGAACCATTCATTATGTGCCTTACTAAACTACGAAGGATAGCACTAGTCAAAACAGTTGATGACTGAGCTTTGATAAAAGTGTATTAGAGTTGGAGCCCCCTAAAATAAGTAAAATAGCCACATAAAGATAAATCAGTTTAAAAATATACAACTATGATAAATTTCAGTTTAGTTGATCTATGCTAGTTTTATTCCTAAAAATACCCACACAAAACTGTTTGTACATTTTGATCCTAGCCTTCCAATGCCTGGAGTGGCAGAGCCACAAAAATATTTGACTATCCTATTTACATACATAAACAGTTTTACCTTTGTATTTGTGAAAATTTTTCCAAATGTTCTGCAAAGTCTCCAGAAAAACCTTGAGAATTCATGTACGCAGGCTGTTGAAGCTACATTGATTTTGCTAACTATTTCTATGAGCTGTGGCAACCTGAAAAATCAAATTTTGAATTAAAGGTAAGTCACTCTTAATTTAGTCATTTTCCTGAATGCTCTAATATTTTATTTTGGGTCATCCGGCACAATACCTTACTTTGGATAACAGGATACATATACAGTGATACCGTGACTTATGAGTTTAATTTGTTCTGTGACTGAGCTCTTAACTCAAATTGCTCTTATGCCAAATGTTTTTTTCAATTGAAATGAATTATAATGCCATTAATCTGTTCAACCCCCCCAAAAAACCATACCACATTTTGTCATGAGTTTTTAAATACGAAAAAATGTACTTTATAAACAACTAATAATGTATAAAAAAGAATAATACATAATAAAAGAGTTACGTAAAGAAATATACTGAATTTATTAAGTGTAGAGTATGTATTTTCCTTCAAGATTTCATTTAATCTTCTTCTTCACTGACATTTGCCTTTTTCACCACACTTTCCTTGCTTTCACTTGCAGAGCATTTTAATAAAAACCTGTCCATGGAGGTTTGTTTCATCCTCCCTTTCAAAATGTTTCTAAAATGAGTGAGGAAATGATAAATTAGACTGACAGATACCTGTATAACCTGCCTATTTTAATAAGGATAGAAGTTTAATTGATGACAGGCCCTTTAGCTTTCTTACAATCTCCCCAAACCCTGGGATTGTATAAATAACAGCAAGGACAAGCGCAAGGAGATTTCCTGGCTGCTCCCTTAAAGCCTTGCTTAAGATGGCGGGAGGCGTATTTTCGCGGCAGCTCATAACTCAAATCTTGGCTTGTGTGTCAAAGCAAAAAGTCAGCTGAGCGATATCTCAAAAAACTCGTAAGTTAGTTCTGTTGTGCCACCACAGCGATCTCCTCTATTTTCTTCCCTAGTTAGGAAGGTTTAACCTGTATTGTAAATAGCTATTGTGGGAGGGATAAAAAGTTAGCCCCTTCCCTTTAAGACATTTATCAAGTGGAAAAACCAAAAAAAGACAACTCACAGTTGATTGACGACCCATAACAGGGTATCCCAGCCTGTGGTCCCCTCATGCTCCAACTGGTAATCATACAGATGCAGCAAGACAGCCAGCTGCTCACGGCTTCCAATTATCGTGGCCACATCTTGAAGAGGTGATACAGGCCTTGGAAATCTCGTCACTAGCAGCACACAGCAACAACCATGATCAAAACCAATAGCCCTCATCTTGGTCTAATCCAATACAGTTTTAAAAGTGAAACCATAAATCTAAGTTCCTGTAAGAACTTTCACCTAAAAAGTAACCAGAAAAGCTAAAAAAGAGATTACTCGAAGTCTGTTTACTGGAAGGCCAAAGATTTATAGATTTACTCTCAAAAACTGCGACAAGACTACAATGGTTTAAGTACTAACGCTGTTTCTAAACCTAAATTCCTACCTAGGTAATGATTTTACAAACACATAAACACTTTCATATTTTACCTTCAAAATGAAATTACCACAACATGTTGTACAGGAATTTGCAAAGGAAGAAGAGTGTTTTGGAGCAAAGAGCCAGTACACAGTTTGA